TGCATCTCTAAAGCAAAGACAGGAAGACAAAAAAAAAAACCTTCCCACATCAAGAGAAAGTTAAAGTCAAATCTGCTCTGTTCTCAACACCATCATCACTTCATTAAGTTTAACACATTTGATATTTCGTATATTTCTCAGATTATGTCTGAAATTCTGAAATTCTCATCTATTCAGGACACTCATGTAGTGTGTGTTTGAAGGCTGGTATCTGGATCCTGACGCACTTATTTGGTTTGGTTTCAGTTTAATGTCAGGATCTGGATGCTAATGCTCTATGTTTTGTTTTGTTTTGTATTTTGTTGTGAGCACATGGTTCAGGTCTTGCGCCCACTGGAGGCAGTGGACTGGGGTCTCATGGGCACTCTGACCTGTTTGTGGCTATGCAACAAACTGTGATTCACTGTGTTGTGACACCTTTCTACCATTGCCAGCATTATGTTTTTCAGCAATTTAAGCTAATCTGAGATCAGACCAGATAGGCTAGTTGGGCTTTGACTTGCTAGCCAAGACTTGTTGTTTTGGTTATGTTCTGGCCCATTTGTCTAGCCATCACTATTTGGCTCTTGTCAAAGTCATTCAGTTTTCCTGGATCCAACACATGAAATTCAAGAATTGACTACCAGACAAAGTTATGGGAATTATACAAAGACTGTTTAATAAGAAATGGAGAGAAAGGCACATTGCCTCATAATTGGAAAAGTGCTTTGATATTTCCTTTTAGTAAGCCTGGTAAAAACCCAGACAATGCAGGGAATTACAGGCCTATAGTGTTAACATCTCACCTGTGTAAATGGATGGAAAACGTAATATTTCATAGACTGTCATATTATTTAGTACAGAAAGGATTGATTAGTGCTCAACAAAGTGGTTTTCGTAAAGGTAAATCTACAATAGACGCCCTATGAAAGTCAGTAATGAAGCTGAAAAAGCAATTAGTATGAAAGAGGTCATGGTTATAGTGTACTTTGATATAGAGAAAGCATATGACTCAATGTGGAGAGAAGGACTACTGATTAAATTACAAAATATGGGTATTGGCGGAAGGATGTACAACTGGATTTTAGACTTCTTATCAAATCGGACAATTTGTGTTAAAGTTGGAGATGATGTTTCAAACGATTTTAATATAGTAAATAATTTTCTGCAAGGTAGTGCTATTAGTCCAATTCTGTTTAACGTAATGATAAATGGCATCTTTGAGAATGTTGGTACAGGTATTGGGTATTCATTATATGCAGATGGGGCTATATGGAAAAGAGGGGAAAAATATTAGACATAAAATTAGTAATATTCAGAATGCTATAATTAAAATTGAGAGGTGGACATATGACTGGGGATTTAAGATGTCAGTTATTAAATCATGTTACATGCTTTTTACTAGAAAAATGAAATTAGAAAATATACAGTTTAAATTACATGGTCAAAGTATGGAAAGGATAATAACAAAGTTCAAATATTCATAATGATGGTTTGATGAGAAATGTGTATGGAGAACACATGTTAAAAAGATTGAAAATAAATGTAATAAAGTACTAAACCTTATGAGATCAGTTTCAGGGTATGACTGGGGTGGAGATAGTCATTACTTGATATATACAGGGCCTTAAAATACGATCATGTTTTTTATATATGGAGCAGCAGCTAAGAGTGTGCTGGAAAAACTAGACAGAATATAGTTCAGAGCTCTTAGACTTAGTGTTGGTGCTAATAAAACAACTCCTACTAATGCTTTACTTGTAGAAACTAAAGAACTACCACTTAAGACTAGTAAAGCTGTCACTAACATACTGGGTTAAGTTAAAAGGATCTGGGAAAGAACAACCTGCTGCAGAGGTCTTATGTGATTGCTGGGACTATTCACAAGAACGAAAAGGTAAAGGATTCGGCTGGAATATTAATACAGTAGCCAAAGATTATGGTTTAAAGAGACTTGTGTATGGTCCAAATACGGTATGGGGTAATGTTCCTCCATGGATATTTCCAGTTCCAGTACCAGTATTTTGGGGACACATGAGAAAATGTGGGAATTTAGTAAGGCTGTCATTCATTTTCTTAAAGATACATGGTTTGAGCACAGAATATAGATTTTTTTTTTGGGATTATGTAAAGTAGGCTACATGAAACCCTGAAGTTGCACACCCCGGTACAATAGGTGGCGGTATGTATCTGAACACGTTAGTTGCGACCCACCATTAAAACCAGAAAGAAAGAGAGAGAGATTTGCTTGATTTTAGCCTTAATACTTTGATGCACAAAATGGGTCTAAAGTGACTTTTATATTTTCTATATCTTTGCAATAAATTAATTTCATCATTCAGTATTCCAGGAATTCCTCAATTAACTTGTTTTTGATCATCATAAATCCTTATTTTCATTTTTCCTTTCTTACTTTTTTAATAAAAACTTTTTTTTATCACTACCCTGATCTTTGATCATATTTAAGTACAAAACTTTTATCAAGGTTGGAGCAAAACTCTGCAGGACTGTGGCACTTCAGGACCGACGCTGACCATCCCTGGCCTACAACTTCACTTCATTTTCTTTTATTCAGTCACATTCACTATAATTCACTACAGTTGAAGACAATTTCAGTATTATCGGTTATCATTGATATGTGTATGTTATATGTGACAAAGTGGCAAATAAACATTTCAAGTGTTAAATGTGTTGAACTAAATAACTACTAAAATAATTATATATATAAAAAAAAAAACTTTATTCTTTTGTTCTATCAAGTTTACATAGATGGGTCATTTTTGACCCATGTGTGTAAACTTGATGTAGTAACACAAAACCTGAAAAAATTAAATATTTTGTGGTCATTGAAAAAAAAATATTTTGAATATTCATGGATCATGGAATTTATAGATCAGGGAATATTAAGTGCTGAAATAAACTGCTTTCAAAAGATCAAAACAATGAACAAAAACAAAGAACAAAAAATGCCCAAAGAAGTATAAAATAACATAGGAAATGAATGCGGGTCATTTTAGACCCGTGTTGTGCATTAGAAGGGGTTTGCATAGCTTGAGCATTAAAGGTTTAAAAATTCGAAAGTTACTTAAGAAATATATAACCTGAAGTTAGAGCAGGTTTCTGTGGTTCGATATTTGTGATTATGGATGGATACTAAGTTGACATTTGGAGTTCATATTAAAAAAATTATTGACAAATGCAAGAAGGGCATTAATATATTAAGGTGTTTGGCTGGAACAGAATGGGGAGCTAGTCGACAATCACTTTGGAGATTATATTGTGCTCTGATATGATCAACAATGGTAGTTTTGTACAATGTCTTTGAGGAAAAAAGTAGAAATAGGGAAAATGCCATTAGAATTTAGAAGAATGCAATTAAGAATGGTATATTGTATTTCAATTAAAGGTCATGGAGAAATGCACCCAGTTAAAAAAAAGTCCTGGAAAAATGTTGGGAATATGAATATTCAAAGGTGGAAAGCTATGGCTGGATAGCAGATAAAGAGGCACAGAGAATGTGTATAAGTGAAATTACCAACGGTAATATTACCTACTGTCCCTACATGGCTGTATATGTTACCATTAGTTGATCTTCAGGTGAAAAATATAATTCTGGAAAAACAAAAATATATGTCAAAGGAGTTGGCGAGACAATATGGACATGGAATATAATCATTGTTTACAAACAGAGATTGCTCAAAAGATCCAGCATGGAGTAGAACAGCTTCAGCTGTTGTCGTTCTGGAGTTAAATTATACAATTAGTAAAAGGATCACAGATAATTTATCGGTTTATACAGCAGAGATGATTGCAATTATGTTAGCAGTTCAGTGGGTGGAGAACTTGAATCATAAAAATGTGGTCATATGCTCAGAGTCATATTCTGTGTTAACAAGTATTATGTATGGCAAATCCACATCCAGACAATATATACTAATAGAAATCCTTCACTCGACATAGATGACAAAGTCAAGGAACAAATATTTATTTTGTATGGGTACCAGCTCATGTTGGGGTGGAAGGAAACGAAAAAGCATATATTTTAGCTAAGAAGACCTTAAAAAATACAGAAATAGGACTAAGTACTCCATTAAGCAAATTTGAAGTTAAAGGAATAATCAAAAGAGCAATAAAAGGTTTCTGGCAAGTGAGCTGGGATAAGGAAGGAAAGGAAGACACTTGTACAGAATTCAAAGAGAAGTAGGTCATAAAAGAGAGGTTTGTGGAAATAGAAGGGAAGATTATTTAAGTATTATTAAGAAACATGAGCCAGGTTTATGTAATAATAGTAAAAAAAACAAAGACAATAGAGCATGTTCTGTTAGAATGCACCTGATATAAAAATAAAGGTTAATACTAGAAAATCAAACCAAGTCAATAGGTATAAGTGGTTTGTCAATTCAGAATTTATTAAGAAATTCATCACAAGTTTTCAAGATAATATTATAATTTATAGAGGTCACAAATTTAATGAAAAAAAAATATATATTTTTTTTCTTTCCCTTCTTCAATTCTTATTTTATTACATATTACACGACTCATTGACGCTCCACACTCCAGCTCAGTAGGTGGCGGAAATGCACTATAAGTTGGTTTGCCAACCGCCACTAAGTTGAAAGAAGAAGACGATTTTAGCCTTATGATCGGTGTTGTGTATTTCAAAATAAATTATATATTGGATATAATATATAATTGATATAATATTGGGCCACCACGATGAACAGGTACGTTTGATTAATTCTGACTGACGCTGTTTGGACAGCGGTTCTCTGTGTATTGCTTGATTTTAGCTTTCGGTTCGCTCTTCAGTTGCTTAAGTTCGCCTTTCTTAGGGTCGTTTCTCCTTAAAGTCGCCTCTACACTAAGGTCGGTGACTCTACACTAAAGTCGGTGGCTCGACACTACGGTCGCTTCTCCTTAACCTCGCTTCTATTACACTAAAGTCGCTTCTAAAAACAACAGATTGCTTGCTATTTTAAAACCAGAATTTAAAACAATTTAAACAAAAACACAAAATGTTAACTTGTAAGAGGTACGAGGAACAAACACAATCATTTGTCTGAACAGAGTAATTATATTATATTAATGGACAATTCCAACAATAGTGCCTTTACTGTTACTGCTGTCATAAATATGATTACTTGTGTTACATGTAGGGTTTTTAACCTACACTTAATTATTCTAACAAAAAATATTTTAGTAAAATGTGTATTTTCGTCAGAATTATGAGCGGTCTGTTTGTTTTGATGCATTAATTAAATTCGTTGACGATTATTTTCATTATCGATTAGTTGTTGCAGGCCTAGTTTTATACAAGCTGTAAACACAAGCCCAACACAGGCAGATGTGTGCAGTCCATAGGGTGCATCAAGGTCGCATTAACAACCTTGATTACAATATCAATAAAGGTAAAAAAGGTTTTCATTGGAAAAGTTTTGCACATACTACAAAATACATCCACAAGAAATGAGAAGTACTTTTAAGAATGTTTAAAATTATATCAACTCACACGAGATGAAGATTTCAGTCATTTCAGGCCTAAAGCAAGCTGATTTATTCTACATCAAATCACCTCATGGGGGCCGATGAAGGCCAGATGAATCCTCCACTCTTTTACTTGGTGAAGGAAATGCCCCTCTTTTCAAAAACTTTTGATGCTGCATACATGGCAGTTGTCAGTATGAAGTCCCATATATTGCCCCAGAAATAATTGCGATTAGCGATATTATTGTCATTAAGTACCATTTTATGCCACTGTATATATAATCATAATGTAACAGCATAATAATGCAAGGAGGCCTACACACTTCCAAATGATAACAAACTTTTAATTTTTAAGAATATTTAGATAGAAATTAAGTATCAAAACTAGGTCTGTCGCAATAATCAATATATCGACTTGTCGCGCAATATATGTACATGAAGATAGCAAAAATCATCTGGGTCAGATCTGGCCCAGACCCATCAGAAGTTCTGGTCCAGATCCGCACAACGGACTTGGGCCGGTGTCTTTTGGCACAACGGGCCAATACCGGCACGGATCCGTTTTTTCTGGGTCAGCTCTGGACCAGATGCGGATTCCTTTATGGTGATTTGGGCCAAATGTGGGCCGGATCTGGTCCAGCACCATGCCGGATCTGGGCCAGCTCATTTTGTGTGTGTATATATATATATATATATATATATGCCTA